GAATCGCATTGTTGAAGTTACTTGATTTGAGATTGCACTATAAAACCACAGTATATGTAAAACTATCTAATTCACGACCACTTGACTGTCCTCAACACACAAAAAAGTACCGTTAAGAATAAATTCTGTTTTAACAATCATATTAATAACCTAAGTTTTTTAAGTTTACCTCAATTTATTGCACTGAAAAGAAAAACCCGAGAGTGCATGGATTAATGGAAATGCAATCATTTTTTCGTCTATGGGCAATAGTGAGCATTTGGCTATTATTATTAAATTTAAGGGATTACAGCTTAAAGCAGAAGACAAATTCTGCATTTTAAAAATGCTAAATTTACTTGAATCTAACGGATAATCGTAAAATGGTTGCATTGACAAAAACGTATAGCCTATCAGGAAAATCTCGTTGTCACTACTTTTTACAATGAAGCGAAATGTGCCACGTATAGTAAGTTACCAAAAATTGGTCTAAAGAGTTTAGACAGTACTTCCCTCGCTGTCGGAAACTTGACGACTGCATGCCTATTGTGTTTTTTTTCTCATTACATTTTTGTAGTGGGAATTTAAAAAAAAATTGCGATGACGTCATCAACATTTTTGCAAGGACACGTATATCAGTTGGGATAGATGTAGTGTAATACTAAGAATAAAATTATTATATTCTCAAATTTTCGGGAAAATGAATTGGGTCGTTTTGAATATTGATTTGTAATAATCAATAAAATAACGAAACAATTTACTCACGTATACGTATCAGAGGCAACTGAAAATCGTGCATGTATAAACATTCTTAATTTAAGATGACAGGCGTAACAGCATACGTGAGAGTCAAACAGAGAAACTGTAAACAAAACGACCATCGGTTTTATTGCTTCGACTTCCGCTTATTATATAAAACATTGGGTTTTATTTTAATTCTTGACGGTGAAATTCACAATTGGTTGATTATAAACATGTCTATTTCAAATTCGCGGAACCAAGTGAGCGCATAAAACAAATGCAGGTCTGTAATGTTAAAGTCGATGTAAATAAGCGTGCTACCCTTATGTTTCAACCGAGTTTTTCCTTTAACAAATTTTGTGTCTACCAAATTGGGTTGGTTGGGGTGTAATACTAATAATAAGTGTTGCCTTTAATTTAATCAATAAAATAAATTGACTTCATTAATTTTTTTGAACCACCTCTTAAGAAAATCTAAAAAATATGAATGGAATGATAAATCACAAGTACAAACTCATCATATTTTGTACATTTTAGATACGATTTATTCGGCAAACTTTTGAGCTGATGTCATCAGTTTTTTGTAGAAGATAACCAAATATATTTTGACTAAAAATTTATTATGCTCTTTATGACCTTAAAACATCTGCAAGATTTCAGAGCATTCGGTTTTGTAGTTCCTGATTAAATCAATAAAATATATTTACGCATTCATTAATTTTTTTGAGTCACCCTGTATATGCAAATCCAAAAAATATGAATGGAGTGATAGATCACAAGTACAGACTCATCATATTTTGTACATTTTAGATATGATTTATTCCACAAACTTTTGAGCTGACGTCATCAAGTTTTTGGAGGGGATAAGCAAATATTTTTTGACTAAAGATTTATGATGCTCTTTATAGCCTTAAAACATCTGTAACGTTTCAAAGCATTCTGGTTAGCAGATTAAAAATTAAATTTCAAAATGTTGTTTTATAATTTTGATTTTTTTTCCAAAAATCTGGACGTTTCGGGTGAAAAGTCGATTCAGAGTTGTAAACTACATGTGTAGGACTATGTTATTTTATACAATTGAAAACCCATTTACTATGTACAATTTTGAAGTGACGTCATCGCATTAGTGGTGGGGATGACTAGACAAATTTTGGTTAGCGTTTTACCATCTACATGATATTCTTAATATAAGAACAAAATTTCACAACAATCGGTCGAGTACTTTCGGAGATTATCTGTCTAATAAAAATCCGGGACAACAGACGGACAGACGGACAGACGGACGGACAGACGGACAGACAGACGGAGATGGGAGACCTATTTCTTCGTCTTCTAGGGGTCATGAAAGATCGAGAAAATGTAAAAGTAGAGAGTCGGCCGACGGACTCGATTACAATACTTCCTTTGCTTACGCTCAGGAAGTAAAAAGTATCGTAGTATTACAGGCATCTACCTGTATATAATATCCAATATTACGTTATATATGAATTCACTGTATTTTTACTTCCCGAGCGTAAGCAAAGGAAATATTGTAATCGAGTCCGTCGGCCGACTCTCTACTTTTACGTTTTCTCGATCTTTCATGACCCCTAGAAGACGAAGAAATAGGTCTCCCATTTCCGTCTGTCTGTCCGTCTGTCCGTCCGTCTGTCCGTCTGTCCGTCTGTCTGCCGTCCCGGATTTTTATTAGACAGATAATCTCCGAAAGTACTGGACCGATTGTTGTGAAATTTTGTATTTATATTAGGAATATCATGTAGATGGTAAAACGCTAACCAAAATTTTTGAAGTGACGTCATCCCCACCACTAATGCGATGACGTCACTTCAAAATTGTACATAGTAAATGGGTCTTAAATTGTATAAAATAACATAGTCCTACACATGTAGTTTACGACTCCGAATTCAGTTTTTACCCGAAACGTCCAGATTTGTGGAAAAAAAATCAAAATTATAAAACAACATTTTGCAATTTAATTTTGAATCTGCTAACCCGAATGTTTTGAAATGTTGCAGATGTTTTAAGGCTATAAAGAGCATCATAAATCTTTAGTCAAAATATATTTGGTTATCCCCTCCAAAAACTTGATGACGTCAGCTCAAAAGTTTGCCGAATAAATCCTATCTAAAATGTACAAAATATGATGCGTCTGTACTTGTGATATATCACTCCATTCATATTTTTTGGATTTGCATATACAGGCTGACTTAAAAAAATTAATGAATGCGTCAATTTATTTTATTGATTTAATCAGGAATTACAGAACCGAATGCTTTGAAATCTTGGAGATGTTTTAAAGTTATCATAAGCATGGTAAATTTTTTATCAAAATGTATTTGCTCTTTCCCCCTAAAAAATTGATGACGTCACTCCAAAATTTTGCTGAATAAATCGTATCTAAAATGTACAAAATATGATGAGTCTGTACTTGTGATTTATCATTCCATTCATATTTCTTGGATTTGCATATACAGGGTGACTCAAAAAAATTAATGAATGCGTCAATTTATTTTATTGATTTAATCAGGAATTACAGAACCGAATACTTTGAAATCTTGGAGATGTTTTAAAGTTATCATAAGCATGGTAAATTTTTTATCAAAATGTATTTGCTCTTCCCCCCTAAAAAATTTATGACGTCACTCCAAAATTTTGCTGAATAAATCCTATCTAAAATGTACAAAATATGATGAGTCTGTACCTGTGATTTATCATTCCAATCATATTTTTTGCATATACAGAGTGACTCAAAAAAATTAATGAATGCATGAATTTATTTTATTGGTTTAATCAGGAATTACAAAACCGAATGCTTTGAAATCTTGGAGATATTTTAAAGTTATTATAAGCATGGTAAACTTTTGTTCAAAATGTATTTGTTGATCCCTCCTAAAAAAATGGATGACGTCACCCTTAAATTCGGCTGAATAAATCCTATCTAAAATGCAAAAAATATGATGAGTTTGTACTTGTGATTTATCTATCATTCCATTCATATTTTTTAGATTATCTTAAGAGGTGGCTCAAAAAAATTAATGAAGTCAATTTATTTTATTGATTAAATTAAAAGCAATACTTATTATTAGTATTACATTGGACCAACCCAATTCGGTAGACACAAAATTTTTTAAAGTAAAAACTCGGTTGAAACATAAGGGTAGCACGCTTATTTACATCGACTTTAACCATGGCCGACTAGTATAAAGATTATGGCCTGTCCAAGAGGTACGATACGTGTTGCCATCTATTAACAATTACACTTAATAATTTAGCAAAATTTTAATTTGACTTGACATTATGGGACTTCAAAACGTGTAATGGTCGTTTGTTTCGGTATGAATGCCTTTGTGCCTTTCAAAAGGTGTTAATAATTCTTTTGTCGATTTTGAATTATTAATAGATGGCAGCACGTATGGTACCTTTAGCATTCCTTTGGACAGGCCATAATCTTTATACTAGTCGGCCATGCTTTAACATACAGACGTGCATTTGTTTTGTGCGCTGTCAAGGTTCCGCGAATGTGGTTCTTAAATTAAGAATGCTTATACATACACGATTTTCAGTTCCCTCTCATATTACGCGCCTGCGCCGTATACGTGAGTAAATTGTTTCGTTATTTTATTGATTATAATAAATCAAAATTCAAAACGACCCAGTTCATTTTCCCGAAAATTTGGGAATACAATAATTTTATTCTTAGTATTACACTACATCTATCCCAACTGATATACGTGTCCTTGCAAAAATGTTGATGACGTCATCGCATTTTTTTTTAAATTTCCACTACAAAAATGTAATGAGAAAAAAAACACAATAGGCATGCAGTCGTCAAGTTTCCGACAGCGAGGGAAGTACTGTCTAAACTCTTTAGACCAATTTTTCAGTTGTCAGATTTGATGACGTTTCCATGTTGGAGATTTTTTCACTCATTTCCTGTATCATTTCTTTCGTTTCGCACATGTGTTTTGTATTTGTTTCAAATCTAGAATAAAATTATGTTCATTAGCATTAGTTCATAAAAGATTGCAGTAACATACCACAGTATACCATACAGTAAAGACAGCTCGTCAAATATTGGAACAACATGTCCTTACCCAACCGTTTTGATTAGGCGGGATTTTTGAAACGAAGTGGAATATTGGTTGCCTAAATTACAAATACAGCTCGTCCGTAAAACAATGTAAAAGGAACTGATATAAACATTGAATGAACTGAAACCAATTTTTGGAGTGTGGTATGAAGACTACGAAGAAAATACCATTTTGAACAATAAAAAAGAATTGTGCTTATATTTATTTTATTCATTAATAAAAGTCTATCACTTTACCAAGTTAATTTCAACATGAACATATCAACTACCTATTTTGTCAACGCCTTCAATTTTCGCCAAGTGTTAACCGTTTGAAGAGTCAGAAAGTGAACGCTGTTGTTTTCATCTTCCTTGGGAAAAGTACTTTGATGTTTTTGGTTGAATTTTTGTTGTTAGTTAAATTAGTGAAGTGATTCTGAGAACCTTTTCATAGTAACATGGACTACAGTGGTAGACCACCTCGTGATTGCAGGGACAATGAAAAAACCTGCTTCAGGGGCTTCTTTAAATTTCCCTTGGAATCTGTAAGATAAGAAATATAAAGAAGTATATTATTCTATATTCAATAAAAAATTATTTGGTATGCAATTTTTACAGCACAGTGAAAATTCCAATAGTTGTAATGATTTAGGATCTATTTTACTAGCAATTGAATCTAAAGCAAGCAACTAGTGTCAAATTATTAATACAGTTTTAAGCTGAACAACTTTTGCACATAAATCTGTGGAAGTAAATATGACAGACTACAGACACCTGGACATGGGGGAACAAAATTCTTTAAGTTATGTCTGTGGATACTTAATGAAGAAATGCTTGATGAAATATACCTGTGAAACATGTAGTTATTTTGCCATTGCACGTAATGTCATCATATATGATAAACTTCTCTGTCACTTCAACGCCTTTGATGATGTTAGTCTAAGAGCCAGTGGCCGGCTACCTGTATGTAATTGACCAGACCTCGAATTTTGTACAGAGAGTCTCCTCGATCCAACATACAAGGACTGAGGACTCACTAAGCCCAGCGCGGCTGGCGTAGCTGGAGCTCAGGTACGCCAGGTATCAAAAAATTACTAATTTTAAATGCATTTGACCATGTCTGCCATCTGGAAATTTTAAAATATATGTTTATTTTTATTAAAAAATAACCATGGCAGACCATTATCACGCGTCTAACATCGTGGCAGACGATTTTGAAAGTGCCAAAAAATATAAAATTTTCAAACTAAATTTGACCAAGTCTACCCGAACAGATATATAAAAATGACGCATTATATCTTACATTTATTTCATTGAAATTAAATTTATTGTTGTTTTTAAAAATTGATATTTGATTGTATAATATCATTAACAGTTCGTTAAGAATGACAGTTTCGAAAGTTCAAATGTATCAGTTGATTACCGACAAATCATCACTACACCAATCTTTAATAAAGAAATCAATGAGAGGTTCTTTAAATTTCATATTTTTTATCTCTTTTGTAAAATCTGATGGTCGTACCTGGTCAGGCCCAGAAATTGTGAAGTCAATTAACAATGCTTCATGTCGTAGACTTCTTTCATTGTCTTTTATAGATGGATGCAAAAATTACGTCGATTCTTCGTGCTAGATATTTTGTTATCATCTGCAAAATTTTTTTGGAAATATTTTCTAATGTTTTTGGTACTTCTTTCATAGAATGAAGATTGAAAAACCCATCAATTAAAAATGCATCTGTATTGTATGGTGGTTCCTGATCAATATTTGGTTCCAGACATTTAGAAAGCACGGATTTGACCGTTTTACAAATACTACAATCTAAATGACATAACGCTAGAGGTACAGGAGTTATCGGATCCGATATGTGAATTCCTACAGAAATATCAATTTTTAAAAACAACAATAAATTTAATTACAAAGCAGATGAAATAAATGTAAGATATAATGCGTCATTTTTATATATCTGCTCGGGTAGTAGTTAAGATTTTGTTATCTGCTGAAGTGTATACTCAATAAAAACGTCTGCCGTGATAAATATAATATTCTAAGACTACAATAAACAAAATATGTTAATGGCAGACTTGGTCAGAATTAGTTTGAAAATTTTATATTTTTTGGCACTTTCAGAATTGTCTGCCACGATGTTAGACGCGTGATAATGGTCTGCCATGGTTACTTTTTAATAAAAATAAACATATATTTTAAAATTTCCAATTGGCAGACGTGGTCAAATGCATTTAAAAATAGTCATTTTTTGGTACCTGGCGTACCTGAGCTCCAGCTGCGCCAGCCGCGCTGGGCTTAGTAAGTCCCCACCCCTTGTATGTTGGATCGAGAAGAGTCTCTGTACAAAATTCGAGGTCTGGTCAATTACATACAGGTAGCCGGCCACTGGCTCTTAGACTATGTATGATTGTATTGGATGCAACTGTTGTACAATTCTGTTAAAAAGTACATACACACGTTACGAACTTGCAGTTAAAAATTTGCGATCCTGATGACAACATGTCTGACGAAATGACGAAAATGTACTTTTATAGCTGCTCTCACGGTTTGAATAACATACACTGTTGAGTCATGTCCACACATGATCAAATTTCCATCCAATACAACAGGATTGCTGCTGCAGACAGACTTGTTCACCAACCGTCCACATCCAACCGATTTGCTTGATCGCATACACAGACGTTCAAAAACACTTCAATTTCGTCATATCCAAAACAATTGTACTGCGGCGTTGGAACGTGAGTAGCGAGCTTAAGATGCTACATGAAGCATCCACCTTTTATGTTGCAGCCCTAGAAAAACGATTTGCTTCACTATTTTCTACCAACTTAATTTTACCTTCATGTGGCCGATATATAAAAGCAGTCCTCGTAACTGTGTCCAGACCAGCATACCGCACCCCTGTGCCCTGTGTACAGTTTCCACAAGATTATTTATTCTATTTATTTGTTCGAACGCGCATTTTCTATTTAGTAAAAATAATAAATCACAGTTACAATATTAAATGCCAAACACCTAAAATGTCAAATTTGACGCACAATGTTGACATGGTGGTAAATTTTATTTAGTAACAAGGTTTGCCACTACAGTTTCAAGCCAAAATTCAAGGTCATGTCCTTACCCAACGGTCGATTATTGTTGTTCTGTGGTCCGTTACGTGTATTTCTTATGGGGCTTTCAAAAGCTGTCCTTACTGTATGATATTCTGTGAACATACCTTTGCAATATTTATGGCGCCTCATTTTCAAAAACAATCACCGTAAGTTCTTCATAACCAGTGGGAGTATCTTCAGTGATTAATGGTGGTCTTTCCAGCTTATCTGAAAAAACTGCTTTTGTTATCTAATAATATTCATAATAATAATAATAATAATACTTTATTTTTCGACAGGCTTAAAACCCAATTACAGAAAAATAATAATTAAGAAAAAAAAAACCAAATCATTCTATAAAAGAAAAAAGAAAAAGCAAGTCATTCTAAAAAAAGAAAGTTCTATCCTAAATTATTGAGTTCGATAACCTTTTTGATTGTTTTTACAGAGTCAAAATAAATATCGCATTTACTACAGATTTTGTTGTAGTTGTTACACATTACAAATGATGGTGATCTACGTAATAAATTAGTGCTGCATGCATCACAATAGAATGTCACCCTCTGACGTTTGTTTGATCTCGGCACGACAAAGTTTATTTTTTCTAACAACAGAGTACAATCCACTTGGTTATTAAGAAGTTTATATAGAAAACATACACTGAACATATTTCGCCTAGTTTGCAACGAGTTCATGTTGAATCTTCTTAACAATAATGAATGGTTATATCCTCTCTCCGGGTATGTTCCATTAATGATGAAGCAAAGAAATTTCAAAAATTTACGCTGTACAGATTCCAACTGTTTTATATGTACTTCGTACGCTGGTGACCATACAGTTGAACAGTATTCCAATCTGGTGCGTATTAGTGATGTGATATTAGAACTTGAATGTTATTAAATTCTTTACAATTTCGGTAGATGAAACCGTAGATTTTAAACGATTTCGGTACAACATCCTGTATATGGTTAATAAAAGTAAACTTTTGGTCAAACAATACTCCTAAGTCCTTCATTGTATCCGTTCTATTGATAATCAAATTTTCAATTTTGTAGTCAAAAATAAGTGAAGATAATTTCCTACTGTATGTCATCACAAAACATTTGGACGCATTTAGAGTGAGTCGGTTGATCATACACCAGCGAAGGAGTTGATTGATACAGATCTGAAGTACTTTGCAATCCTCTATACTATTAATTTCCATATAGATTTTTAGGTCATCAGCGAACAATAATTTACTACAACACAGTGATGAGCCAAGATCATTTATAAAAATTAAGAACAGCAGTGGCCCTAAATTGGAGCCCTGCGGCACGCCAGATGTTGGAACAAAGGGTTTAGATAAATAATTGCGATATCTGACGATTTGTTCACGACCCATTAAGTACGAATTAAATAGTTGTAAAAGCATGCTCCCAAATCCAATTTTATGCAATTTATCTAATAATATGAAATGATCAACTTGGTCGAACGCCTTCTGAAAGTCGGTGTATATCACATCCACTTGCTTATTCTTATCTACCGCTTCAGACACATCCTGAATAAAACATGACAAGTTCGTTACTGTGGATCTTTTCTCCATGAATCCATGTTGGAATGTGGACAATGACGGAGTTATAGCGGAGTAAATACGCTTGTAGAGTATTGATTCTAGGATCTTTGCAAAATTGCATAGTAGAGAAATTGGTCTATAATTACTAATATTAGATGGGTCGTCTTTTTTAAGGATCGGACATATAATGGATTTTTTCCATAAAGTCGGAAAAGTAGATGTTCTAAGTATAAGATTAAAGAGATAAAGGTTCAACTAGAACTGAGGCGCAATCCTTGATTATAAAACTTGGGATTCCATCAACTCCCGACGTGAGTGAATCTTTGGCTCTCTTCATTTCACTGATTATCTCCTCTTTTGTAATATGCGTAATTGTCACATTAACGTTGGTTGATTCTAACAAATTGGCATCCCTGTTTGTTCCCGTCGACTGGATATACACACTGCTAAAATAGTCATTGAAGGCGTTAACTATATCTTCAGGTCTAGTATATATATAAGCTTCGTTTACTTTGGTTCGTAATCCTCTGACGTTTTGGTAAAAACAAGAAATAGGAGAAGTGCAATTGGGTGATTTAATCAGTTTAAATTACTAATAATCTTTGGGACCCCATTCTGATATTTAAGTCTTAAATTCTTTTCACCATTAGCAGTACGAATTAAAAGTGGTTGTTTAAGCGTTTTATAATAAGCGACTTGACGAGGTGTACGATCCGAAGACAGAGAGATGTGCTTAAATTGATCACGACTTTTTAACACTCTAGCATTTCGGAGTATACCAATGACGTCTTCCTCATTATTAAGGGTAATTCGTATAGGTCGAGGGTCTGTATTAGTTTCAACACATTTACCCAGTCTTCCCTACTTGACTATTTGTTAGTTGAAGATCCGGTTTAATAGTAGATCGCCTTTACTTCTGCATTCTCTGCTTCAATACGTTGTTCCTTGTTGATTACCGATGTTGATTCAGCATGTCCATAGACAATTATATTCACTTTTCTCTTTTGACGTTCGGTAAATTCCTGGACAATGTCTTCGAATTCCATTTTTTCTGGTGTTACTAAGCTAGCTTTGTTTTTTAATTCATTAATTTGTTCCTGCAAGTTCTCTTTGAGCTGATTTATAGTGGTAGTAAATTGTGCCTCAAAAGACGTCATAAGGGCTTTCATGTCTTTGAACTGACTGATGTTTGCATTACATGTATTGCAGACAACTTTAATCGCTTTTGACCTAGAACGTGTCAGTTTTGCTTCATTTTCTGAAAGGCTTAAACAGCTCAGATGCAAGTAGCCCTGACAGGCATCACAGTTAATGAGACCAGTTTTATTTTTGTCGCCTATGCCACAATTTACGCATGTAAACATTATGTATTACAAAAGTGAGTGGAACAGGACAGGAACACAGTTCTTACGCAATTAATAAAGGTCTTATGTTTGAATCACCGCCACTTTCCCGCGTTTTTCCTCCTATGATCAGCTGTTCGCGTGCTCGCGCACTTCTGAAAGAAGACACACTCCGGTCGACCCGTCGGAAGTGTGTTTCTTATCACCTTATCAGTTTGCACTGCGTTTTTCTATGTACTACCTTGTTAACGTAGTTATATATCACGTTGCCTTCACTTTGATTATTATTTTGCAGAATTTCACACTTATTTAAACTGTAGCAAATCACCGCACGCACGCACGTGTGAGTGTCTCTCTGAATAATCACAATAATCCCCAGGTCCTATGCTAAAATAATACAAAAAAGAGATTATAGCAGTTATATAAATGAAATTCAAAGTTCTATCAAATCGAATTCGAGGGAATTTTGGAAATTTGTTCGTGACAGAAAAGCATCGGCGGCAATATATAATTCTATGATTTACAATAATATCGCATACTTACCACTCATAACTATCACGAAATTGTAGAAGCATTTGCAGATTATTTCTCTACTGTCTTTAGTCAAAATAATAATAAAAGAAATGATTCTTTCTACAATAAAAACAATGTTTTTTATTGTATTAATATAAGGTCGGTAAATGTAGAAGAAATTGAAATTGCTGCAAAAAAAATAAAATCTAATTATTGTGTCGGTCATGTCAGAATTCCTTAATTTCTCGTGAAAGACTGTATCAGTGTATTGTTGGAACTATTGCATTATATTTTCAATCTTTGTATAAAATGTTCTGAATTTCCGGAGGTTTGGAAACGGACACGGAGGTAGAAGAGACCGGAGGGAGCGTACCGTATGCTAGCAATGTAACGATTCTGGCATCGTTCAAGACCCGGTCAGACACCGGTTATGATCTTATTTGAACAAGGCGCCAATATTTGCCAGCCCGACGCAAACGCGCTCCTACACTCAACAGCTGACAGAGTTTGGATTTCCAGTGGCGTACTATCACGTAACACGTGCTGTTTATATGCAATTGTTCGTTCTTGAGTTTCGAGTTTAGTTGTGCTGTTTTAGTTTTGGACGTGTTGTTGGTGTTTTTAATTTGAATAGATTTTGATTATAATTAAAGATCATAATAACATTTAGAGACTTATATATAAGGTTGTCAACATAAAATATGTTGCCCCGCCACTGGTTATGACTGCTAAACATTTAGAGGGTGGAGCTTAGCACAGCGCGCATTTCAAGTAGGGTCATAAACGGTGCCTGAGTCTGTGTCACAAAATTCACGACACCTTCCCTCCGGTCTTTTCTACCTCCGTGGAAACGGACAAGAGTAGTTCCGTTACATAAGGGCGGTAATACATCTGATGTAAAGAACTATAGACCTAAGTATTTCAGTTTTATCAAACTTTTCTGTCTGATTACTAAAGAATAAGATATCGGCGGCTCAACATGGTTTTATACCAGGACGTTCGACGAGCACTAATTTGGTAAGCATTTCTCAATTTACATCTATTCCCTGGATGTTCGTAAACAGGTTGATGTTATTTATTTCGATATAGCCAAGGCTTTTGAAAGAGTGAACCACTGCTTGTTGCTTGCTAAATTGGAATCGTTTGGATTCTCAGTGTCTTTATTGAAGTTTTTTAAGTCGTACCTGTCTAATAGACAAGTTAACGTGACAATTAATGGATTTGCGTCGACATCATATTGTCAATTATAAGGCATCCCTCAAGGGTCTAACTTGGGTCCGCTGTTGTTTCAACTCTTTATTAATGACTTACCTGATATCTTTAGTGAGGTATGTTGCCTGTTATTTGCGAATGATGTAAATTTGTATAAGAAAATTAATACTGTAGATGACTGCCTGGTATTACAGTATTAATATAACTAATAATTATTAAATAAGATTTAATTGATTAAATTTTATATTTTATTCAAATTAAAATTCCATGTTTTGTATATAAATTACAAACATTAAATCCAACATAAAACCATTTTAAATTTCGCGGTCTGTTAAATGATGTTTATAATTTTTGTGTTTGTTAAGTTTCCGCCAGGTTTGCTCCACGGTGACGATACTATTTGTTTTCTAGGGGCTATAGATTTTAGTAGTTAGGTTTTTATATCTGATCTAATATTAGTTTGCCGCCCGTTTTTGGAATTTTTC